AACAAAGAAGAACAAGCCATTCAGCCGTGGCCCGGGATCTGCATTGTCAGGAGCAAGTGGGAGAGTGTGACATCAAGATCTTTGGGGGTTGGAGATGTGAGTCAATCGGTAGCGTACTTGCCTAGCACTAGATACACAAAGCCCTGGATTCCATCCAGTGCCACAAGAAACCAGATGGGGTTAGTACACATCTGTACTCCCAGCACATGGCGGTGGAGGCAAGGAGGGTCGGGTGTTCAAAGCCAGCCTGGGTTACTTGAGAACCTATCTCCCAAGCACAGAAAGACCTCTTTGGTGTTCTGCCAACTTCAGACACCTACCTGGCCACCATTCCTGCCAATGCGTAATTTTCTCTTCTCAGGATGCATCCTGGCTAGTTTAATGTCAACTTCACACAAGCCGGAGTCATCTGAAAGGAGGGGATCTCAATTAAGAAAACGCCTCCATAGATCTTGCTGTAAGGCATTTTCTTAATTAGTGATTGGTAGGGCAGGGCCCAGCCCATGGTGGGTGGTGCCATCCCTGGACTGGTGGTCCCTGGTTCTATAAGAAAGCAGGCTGAGCAAGCCATGAGGAGCAAGCCAGTCCCTCCATGGTCTCTGCATCAGCTCCTGCCTCCAGGTTCCTTCCCTGCTTGAGCTCCTGACATGACTTCCTTTGATGATGAGCAGCAAAACCGCTTCCTCCCCAACTTCTTTTTAGTCATGGTGTTTCATCAAAGCAGCAGAAACCTGGCTAAAACAGCATGTCTCCCTTCCTCCTTCACTCTCTCTTCTGCTCTTTACTGTCCTGAGGCAAACACGGAGCCATGAGCACCCCAGGATCAGAGCATGCAAGCCAGACAACCTCACGCTCTACCTGACAGGAAGTCACAAGCAACCCATCTGCCTATGGCCAACGCCGTCTCTGATGTAAACACAGCCACCCCGTGTTGTTTTGCCTACTTAAGTAAAAGGAGTAAACAAAATCCTATTTGAAATGGATAATTGCTTTAGCCAGGAAGAATAATGACATAAAGAGCCACTTAAACTAGATGTTTCTGCCCAAACAACGTCATAATCAGACCGGAAGATGTGGGGTTCTCACCAAACCACCCGCCAAGAACTCAGCTTAGATTGGTGGTTCTGGGTCTCAGGAAGCAGCCACTGTGTACCATGCAACCCAAGACATCACAGGGTCCATCTCTGAGAACAGAGGAAGCAGGGTTCCCACTTCTCAGACACAGCTCCTGGAGTGTACCCACTGGGAATTGCCATTTTGTTTAATGAGATACTTTGTAAACACAAATATATGGAAAGAGCAAAGTTGGCATGAAAACACTGGCTAGCTCTCCACCTCCTCATCCCTACCCCCCCACATACACACACACACACACACACACACACACTTTGGCCTTCAGAAACTGTGTCTTGCATAGCTCAGGCTGGTCAGATAACAGAGGATCACCCTGAACTCTCTCAATCCTCTTCCTCCACCTCCCAAGAAGGTTAGAATTTTTCCTAATAAATAATTCTACAGTCATGCCCCCACCCCTCACCACACAGCCACAGTTATTCCCATCTACCACAAATTAAAAACACTAAGTGGAAAATTCTAGAAATAGTGATTTTTTTTAAACAACGTTCACTGTAGTGTGTTATTGCGGCTGTTCCATTTTATCGTTAGCTGTTAATCTCTCGCTGTGCTTTACTGATTGATATGTTTTGGTGCTGGGGATCAAATGCAGGGCCACCGAGCTGTATCTGGGCTCCTGTTACTCATTTGTAAATTAAGTTTTGTCATGGGCCAACACAGAACAAACAGGGTGTGTGTAGGGATCAGAAATCCATGACCCTCCGTGGGGGGAGGGCTGCTCAGAACACACTCTCATGAATGAAGGGATTATATTTTTCTCCATTAATACAACAGGAAGTTTGTTAATCACTGTTGTTTCTTTTGTTGCCTGCAGAACACTCCAGAAAATGTCACGTTGTGGGAATGGATATACACAATTGCTTCACCAAACAGGAAACCCTCAAATTCTCTAGAGACAGAAGAAATGATATCTATCTATCTATCTATCTATCTATCTATCTATCTATCTATCTATCTCTGTCTCTCCCTCCTTTCTCCTTTTTTTCCCCTCTTCCTCCCTCTCTCCACAACTCAATGCTTAGATCTAACCTCTGTTTGCAGAGCTCTTGACATCACACAGACAGTGGTTGTCTACTAAGCCAGGAGACTGGCTCTGTAAAGCTTATTTAGAAGGTAAAATAACAGATGGTGTGCTTCAAGGCTCTCAGGCACAGGGTAATGGGGGCACTTCCTGCCAGAGCCAGAGATCCCTATCTCAATAAATATTTGCCCAGCTCCTGTAATATATACACCAGCAGGTAATGTTAGACTGTGTACATCCAAGCAGGCACCTGAAAGATTAATTCCTGCCCATTTTAGAACACAGCACCAACCATGCCACTTGCATATTTGTGTCTCTGGGGCTACAACTTCAGCAAGGAAATACCAAAGTCTAAATGTGGTAGTCAGTGGGATTAGCAACAGAGAAGTTATCCGGGGCGCTTTAACATTGACTTTCATACGCCTCTCTGCAAAACGTGATTTCTTTTTCTCTGGAGCATCTGTTGTCTTTGAAATAAGACAGGGTAAATTATTTAAAGCTGCAAACACACAACACACATCACACTTCTGTGAAAGGGTTGTAGATGTCACAGTTTTCCCAGCTCAGGCCTGTGAATAAACATTTTAACATTTTTTTCAACCCACCAGGGAGCCCTGATCTCTGTTTGAAGGAATGTTTACAATGGTGTTGACAATCATGTTCTTTACAGTTTATGAAACTCTGCCCTGAGAGACCCTAAAGCCTAGTGATCTCGAAGGCATGCTTAAGGTGACAAGTCTATTGCATCCCTTGGGCTGAGGCATTCTTCAGTCTCTTGAGCACCCCTTCTCTGGGTCTCTAGGCCAATGAGTAAGACCCCCTGTTTCAAAGAGCAGGGGAATCTATCTCACTTTCCCTTCATGGTTAAGTAATTCAAACGTTTTATACCCTCCCAAAGCAGGAGAAGAGCTAAATTTAGATTCAGTTGTTATTGGTGTGTGGTCAGTTCAAGTTGGCAACAATCTGGCACCCTCCAAAAAGAATCAGTCCATTCCAAACACAGAAAAGATGCTAACTGTCTATTCCACAGCTCTCAGCCCAAGAACAACCAAAATTTGAACACATTCCAAAGTAAGGAGCCTTCAAAATACTCTTCTGTGACACCTAAGATAACATAACAGGGTAACTGTTACACATCTTGTCTTGGAGCTGACATGTAATATGCACACTTGAAAAAATGAAGAAATTATGACCCCCCTCCTTCAGCCAAGCCCTCCTCCACAGCATTCTTCATGACTCCTGACTTTTTAAGACAAACAGCTGCTCACTATCAATGATATCCACTGTAGAACTAATTTGATGCCATTATATAGATAATGCTAAAAATTAAAAGTTACATGGTGTTTTCCAGGCAGCTTCCTCCTCTGAGGATATCTCTTTTACTTTTCACTGAGGATTTGTGGCTCTCTCATCGTGGGAGCTAAATGGCTACCAAGCACACATCCTATATCCAAAATAACTGATAGGCATTCTGCCTCCTTGCAGGGCAAAAGAAATTGGAGGGTTAGGTGCGGATCCAATCGTCTGGGTCCTTTCTTCAACAGCACTGTCAATACTATCACTGTTATACCATTATCACTATTAATGTCATCAACATCACCATCAATAGATCACTGTCATCGTCATCATCAATATCATCACTGTTGTTGTCACTACCACCATCATTATCATTGCTACCATCATTGTTAACATTATCATACCATCACCATCAATATCATCACTGTCACTATCATCAGAAGCATCACCATCACCAGTATTAATATCATCAGCACCATTCCATCATTATCACCATCAATATCAGCACCATCAATATCATCACCATCCTCATATTGCCACAATTAGCACCACTACCATCAATCACTATCACTATCATCCCCATCCCCATCATGGCCATCATCTGCTCATCTGCAATTGCTGTGTCTGCCATGAGACATCATCACCTCTCCTAACATCCTACTTCCTGAAGTCTGAGGCTCACCGCCATTTGATTCTGCCAGAGACTCACCCCATGTCATGCACAGGCTCACTTCCTGCTTCACAACCCAAACTCAAATGCAGCAATCAATAGCAGTCGGCCCCCGACCAGCCACTTGCAGGCTGAAAGCCTGTGCGTGGCATCAGCAGCAACCGACATTCTACCCCTTAACCCCATCTCTTGATCGCAGTGTGAACTTCCTTGTGTTCAGGCCACACCTCTCTCGGCGTGGGAAGCTTCAAACCAAACACCACCCAGAGAAATCATAGAGAATCAGAACAGGGCTTCAGTGCAGACCTTAACATGAATTTTCTGAGTCTTCTCACTCACTCTGAGGAACGCCACCCCCCATCATACTCCTGTGCTAAACACCTGGAGGTCACGCTCATCTGAATGCTCCTTGCTCCACACTGACTTGACACAACACTCAGAACATGGAGTGATTTTAGCAGATACAAAACTTGACTTACAATCAACATCCTAACCTAGACTCTGAAGTCCTAATTCAAAAAGAAAACCAAACAAAAAAAAAAACTGGTCCGACCTACTTTTCCGTGATTGATGTTCTAGACTGACCACTCCCCATATATCTGACCTTAGGACCTTTGTACTACCACATCCCAGGATACAACCTTCTAAAGAGTGCAAACCACCTTTAGCGTGTTCTTCACTCCAGCTTCCCAAACCACCTTTAGCATGCTCTTCACTCCAGCTTCCCAAACCACCTTTAGCGTGCTCTTCACTCCAGCTTCCCAAACCAAAGGCATGCTCTGACACACGATAAATTTGTCTTGATGAAACTGTTGAACCACGAAGACCTTATATGACACAGGAAGAACGGAGTTTCTGAAGGGCCAGAGGGCCACTTACCACCAAGCACTGCAGCTGGGTTCCCTGTCTCTGGACACAGTAGGAGTCTTCCCAGTGTTGGATCTGTCAAATGGTCTTTAGAGCCTGCTGTCTTCAGGTGTGCCGGGCCATTTCTAAAGGGCAGGAAAGAGCGCACATGAGTTTCTGCAGGCAGAAGCACTTCCGGGTCAGCTTTCAGTCTCTTCCGCCTTCCTCCACCCCTGAGGGGCAGGGAAGTCGGGGGTGACACTACTCTGTCAGTGTTGATAGCAGCTGAGTGACTTGACTCATAATCCTCCCAGTCTGGAACTTTCTTTTGCTTCACCCAGATTTCCTGGTTGGCAACTATGAGAAGCCATATACTCCTGCCATAGCCCTTCCCAGGAGGGTCCCATGTAGATCATGCTGACTTGAATGCACTCTGAAACAAGGATAACCTTGAACTTCTGGTCCTCCTCCCTCCAGCTCCCAAGTACTAAGATTGTAAGCAGGTGCCTCCAAGCCCAGTGTATGTGGTACTGGTGATTGAACCCAGGACGTGTTGCATATTATACAAGCAGTATACCAACTAAGCCACACCCTTAGCCCCTCCTCCGTGACCCTTGAGTAGTCTTCCAGGTTCGGGGCTCTGCAAGAGCAATGTATTTAGGACTTGTTTCAGTTTGCTTCTCCTCAGCTATGATTTACCAAAAGAAAGAAAAATGACCAAAGGCAACTTAGGAAAAGGTCTATCTGGCTCACACCTTGAAGTCAGTGTCCAACTGCAGTGCTTTAATGAGAATGCCCCCCCAGAGGCTCATATGTTTGAATGCTTGGCCCCCAATTGGTGGAACCATTTGGGAAGGATTAGGAAGTATGGAGATGAAGGAGGAATGTCACTGGGGGTGGGCTTTGGGGGTTTCAAAAGCTGGTGCCATTCCCAGTGTGTCCCCTCTACCTCCTGCTTGTGGATCAGATGTAAATTCTCAACTGCTGCTCTAGTGCCGTGCCTGCCTGCCTGCTACCATGCTCCCTGCCATGATGGTCATGGACTCTAACCCTCTGAAACTGTAAGCCCCAAATAAAGTTTTTCTTCTGTAAGTTGTCTTGGTCATGGTGTCTTACCACAACAATAGAAAAGTAACTAAGATGTCAACATTGAAGGAAATCACAGCAGGAACTGGCATAGGAGCCATGGAGGAAGGCCGCTCACTGGCTCACCCACAAGCTTATGCTCAGCAAACTTTCGTATATAGCCTAGGCCCACTTGCCTAGGGTCGGTACTGCCCACAGTGGGCCCACCCACATTAACCGTCAATCAAAACAACCTCTCCTACACATGCCTGCAGACCAATCTGATCAAATCACTTGGGACTTCCTCTTCCTAGGTGACTCTAGATTACGTGAAGCTGGCAATAAAAACTAACCAGTGCTAGGCTCATTCCACAGACAAGTATGATGACAGTCAGGGTGGTGGGTAGAAGTCAACTTGGGGCTTGCTCTACTCTTGGTCTTTGTTATCAAAACAGGACTGATCATCCAGAAAGAATTTCCATCACCCAAACTAATAAGTAAAAACCAACAGAAAAACCAGCAAATATGAGAAGATGCCCATTTACCCATCAGGTATCAAAGAGCAGAAAGACTATGTGTCACTCATGACTAGGACACCTCGCACTGACCTTCTGCAAGGCTGGTTAACTGATTAGAGCCCCTATAATTGGGGGGGAGGTTGGAATGTTACAGGTCCAGAGCCTAGTTATAATTTATCTTAGTCTATCTTTAGTCCCCTTATAAACAGGCATTTATAACCCATCTCTGCACATGAGCTAACATCGTGGCAATCATTAGCAAATCCTTTGGAATGTATAAACAGACCACCTTCTTTCTACCAACCAAAAGGGTAAGAGAGACATCCATCCGGTAGCACCTGAGGTCCAGAGTGGAGGTCTTCCAGCTTTGCTGTAATCCGCCTACCTGGTGCCTCCAGCAGTGAGTTTGAAAAGCAACTTGCTTTTTATGACTTTGTTACTATAAAACTTCATGAAACTGTGAGCTTGTTGGAACAAGTAACTTAGGGTAACCTAGTCTTTGTTCCCAGGCCATGGTCACTCATGTTTGACTCCAGAATAAACTAGCTCTTTCCCCTTTGAGATAAGAGCTACATTTCTGTGTTTACACTCCAGACCCTCTAATTGAGATAAACAAAGTCTGAGACATTCTTTTCCTTTTTATTTTTCTAAAACAAGATTTTCAACTGTCTAGCATCAAGGGGATAAGATGACAACTTGAATGGCCCTGAATCTCATCAGCAGGCTCACAAGTGACCCCGGGCAGGAATTAAAACGGTGTGACAGAAAGAACAAAGACAGCCAGGCTTCATCTCAGACTTCAGAAATGAAAACCCATCGGCGTGGCTGGGATTCAATTAAGCAAGCGCTTGCCGCACACCTCTGCCCTGCCTGGCAGTCCTAAGACCAGTGGTGAATGAGGTCTGGTCTTTTCAAGACTCGGAGCTGGTGGAGAAGGGTGGAAGGTTCGCATATAATGTCAACTGGAGCTGGAATCTAATAAGATTAGGCGGATATGCAAGGAGGACGTGCGGGAAGACCGTCTAGACAGGGGGACAGTGAGGCTTGCTTTCTGGAGATACTTAATGAGAGTACTCCGGATGAAGAGGGTGCAGACAGAGGCCACGAGAGGTCACCATATTAGAAACAGAGAAATGAATCTTTCTGTGGCTGTTCCTCCTGGCTCGCAAGGTGTCCTGTTCTTGAACATCACCCCGCAGCAGCCTCACTTAGGTACCAAGTTGATAAATGGCTGATCCAGAGCAAAAGCCTCCCTACCATAGCCCCAGAAGCCTCCACAGTTCCCTTCCAGTCATCTAGACTGAGTCCACCTCTGACATCCACTAAGCTTTGTAGGGTCAAGTGGTCCCCCTCCCCTGGAATGATTTCATTCAAACCAAACCTCCCATCTAGATGTCAAGGTTTAGGGAGGTTGTGACTTGGTGGACAAGAGGTATTCCCATCCCTGGGACCCACATGGTGGAAGGAAAGAACCAACCCCCAAAAGCTGTCCCCTGACCTCCACAAACTATCCAAAGCAGAGGTGCGTGTGGAAACAAAAAAGAAAAAGAAAAACCCTTCTGATATTGCAAAGACGTGTGTCAGGGCGAGGTTGGGAATTCAGCTGGGCCTGCTCACAAACGATCAACCAGCTGGGCTCATTGACTTTTAATATTCTCTTGAAGGGAGGGTCCTGAGACCCTCACCTGAACATCTAGCCAGTCATCCCAACCAACTGTATGCAATTCCGTCCTAATTGTATGTGGCTGGGGGCGGGGCACTAGAGATCTAGGGAGGGTCCAAGGAGGGAAAGCTGCACTCTGCCAGGCATGGTGTGAGCAATGAGTATTTATATGGATTGAAGGTGGCATAATTAAAAAGAGAGGGGATGAATAACTCCAAGGAAAATTTAAAAGCTGTGCAATGAAGAACTGCAGTCCCTGCCACTGGTTGGGTCTACAGCTAATATATTACATGGCAATACTTCAATGCTACCTATTGGCTTGAGCAAGGTAACAACTTGACCCTGTGTGTAGGCCATGGGAGTGATGGGTAACTCCTCATCCTTTACAGGGCTTCCCAACCTCATCCTGTCTTCATTCTAGGCAGATAACTCTTAGAGTAGACGATTGAGCAGTAACCCTAAAACCAGATGCTACCAGCTCTCCGTCTCACATGACAGGTTTTCCCCGAAAGACCAATTTGTCCTTGCCAGAGAACCACTCATCTGTCATTGCACAAAGTGCTATTGTTTATTTATGAAATTTGATTCGTCAACAAATAGCAGTATAGGCTGGAGGGATGACTCCACAGTTAAGAGCACGTGTTGCTCTTTTAAGAGACAGGGGTTCAGTTCCCAGAACTCACATTTAAAAGAAAAAAAGAGGCACAGCAGTGCACACTTGTAATGCCTACACATACAGAGACAAGTAGCAAGACCCACGGATTCCGAGGATCACCTAAGGTCGCCCTCTGGCCTCTATACACACACACACACACACACACACACACAATCAATAATAATAATAAACTTTTTTAAGTGCAGGGCTGAGGAAATGGCTCACAAAAATGTGAGAACCAGAGTTTAGATCCCCCAAACCCACATAAATACTCACATGCCACATGCAATGCCAGCACCCTGGATCTAGAAATCCCTTCAGCAAACTAGCTAGCTCCGGGTTCAAGTGAGACACCCTTCCTCAAAACATAAGGTGGAATACAGTCAAGGGAGATGACAACAACCAACAGCAATGTCTGGGCTTGACACCAGAGCCACAGGTGCAGGTGTGCACATGCACACACACACACACACTCACACATACACACGTGCCACACACAAGTACACACATACACCACACACACATGTACACATGCCACACGCACGTACACACACACACTAACACATACATATGCCACACACGTACACACACACCACACACACATGTACACACATATACGCATGCCACACACACATGCCACACACACACACATATACATGCCACACACACATACACATGCCACACACATACACACACATATGCACACACACGTACACACACATACATACACACACCACACACACATGTACACACATATGCACATGCCATACACACATACACATGCTACACACATACATACACACACATATGCACACACACGTACACACACATACATACACACACCACACACACATGTATACATGCCACACACACACACCACACACACACATACAAGTACACACACCACACACAAGAAAGTGCATCAAAGTGCAACCCTCCAGTGTGACCCTCTGCCTGGCAGAGATGTGTCAGGGTTGCCACCTGACTTTCTCCTCAGAATACCAAGCACCAGCCCCTCCCTCTGCTCCTTGGAGGCATCATACTTTCTTAAGAAAACCATTAAGAATAGTATAAACAAGATGACAGAAACCATTCTAACCTGCAGGTTACAGGACCCTTTCCCGAGCCTGTGACTTTTTTTCTTTTTCCATTTTCAGGTGCGTGATGTGCCTATGTATGTATGCATGTTTTACATGCGTGTAGGCACACACATGCAGACACGTGCATGTGGAAGGAAGCCCAAAG